CCTTTAACACAGCATTCGCATAACGGTGAGAGGTTCTATCATAATCACACTCAGTTCTGGTGGCTGGCCAGACGGCACCCCCAAATCCAGGATGGGTTTGAGGGGTGCAGTTCGGTACTGATGGCTGTTAGTTCAGCTCTAAACGTGCCATCTTGCTTCCAGCACCTGCCACCTGACCTTCCCTAAGGGGCTCAGCACACCTTTCCCTCCGGCACATAGGAAACCTTCCCTCCTCCCTCCCCTCTCCTGCCTTCTTCCCCTTTCCTGCTTCCCGCCCCTCTCCCCCTCCCTGCCCTTTCCTCCCTCTTGCTGGCCTCTACGTGTCCCTACACCCACCTGAGCAGATAGCTTGTCCTCAAACCCTCCCCGCACCCAACACACACACCCACGCCCCACTTCCAGGGAGCCTCCGAAGCCCCATTTCTCCCGCCTTCCCCTGGGCAGTTGCTTTGCGGGTCCTCTTTGTGCCCAGTTTTCTGTCCGAAAAGGGGACAGATATCTCAGCATCTCCCGCACCAGGGGTGATGAAGGGGCAAGGGGGTGGCCCACACAGAGCCCTGCAGCAATGTCTCCCGCATCCGGGATGTTGTCAGAGTTTGATGGTTCAGACGAGGACTCCTGGCCAGACATCTGGTCGCCTTGGTGTTCTCTGGCCATGGCTGTGCCACACACAGAACCCCGGAGGGTTCTGTCACACTTGCTGGGGGTGGAGCAAGTGGTAGCATGAGCGGGGAAAGGACGAGGCGGGGTTAGGAAGACGCTCAGTGATGCAACAGCTGATGCCATCCCCACTGCGGTGGGCGTCCCACACCTCACAGTGGGCAGCCGTCACCTCTGAGGTCCCTCTGTGCCCTCGGGTCCGCCTGGGGTCCTGAAGGTGACCGCCACCTCTGCACAGCCGGAGTCCGCTCTGCGCAGGCCTGCAGGGTGCCGGCTCACGCTGTGGCTGTCTCAGCCTGTGTGGTGGGACTGGGGCCTGGGGCCAGGGGCCAGGGGCCTGGGGCCAGGGGGAGGCAGGTGCCGCAGTTACCTGGGTAACAGGAGGCTGCTTTCTCCTCTATAGGCAGGGCCAATGAAGTCTGTGATTTAGAAAAGATCACATTAGCAGTGGTGAGAACTGGGGGAGGCTGTCACCAATTCCAGGACTCTGAACACAGGCTCCAGAGCTGGGGAGCTGGGGCAGGCCACCCCGTCATCCCGGTCCTTCGTCCTGAGTCGTGGGAAAGGGACGTGGCGCTTCCTCGGAGAGGGCGTGAGCGTGCAGTGTGGACAAGGCGGAGCTGCTCAGACGAGTGCTCTCACCCGGCCTCTCCACACCTTCCTCTTTCAGGAAACAAGCAGGCCCAGGCTTCTCCTGCTCGGCCCGCTGCGGGGAGAGGTGTGGAGTTTAATGAGGCGTCCTGCCCTCCCCTGACGCTTCTGCTTACGTCCTCCGGGCTTCCGTGTGCACGTGTCCTCTGTGTGGACAGAGGAGAGCTTGTGGAAGGTGCCAGCTCGCTGCACAGGGCCCCTCCGCCGGGCGCCAGGGCCGGCAGGTGTCTGTTCTGCACACACACACCCCCAGGGGCCCGCCCCAGCTCGGTCCGCTGCCCATGGCCGGCTCTCACCTGAGCTGGACGGTGTTCCCAGGAAGGTTGCTGTTGAGGAAGCAGCCAGCCACGCCGAGAGGGAAGCTCGCCGCCAAAGGAATGCTGAAATGCGTTTGGGTTTCTTTTGTGTTTTAATCCTGCAGCAGGGGCAGTGGGGGTGTGGCTCAGTGGTCTCTGGGCCGGGCAGGGGGCTGCAGAGAGCTGCAGTATTCCCATGGCAGCTGCACAGCGTCCCCAGGGCTTTCCCGCCAAACATCACAGACCCGGACTTCAGGGCAGCACGTCTCCACACACACTGAGGATGCTGGACAGTGTCTGTCTCTCCTGCCAGTCACAAGTAGGAGTGGGTGTCAATGTGACCTATATTCTTGAGACCTGGAAGTGCTATCCATGTTCTAGGCATGCTCACCTCCAGCTCTTCCCCTGCCCTTCCTGCTGGCCCACCTTGTGTACCCTCACGCTTGCTGGGACCTACTAGTAGATTCACTGTGGAGCAGGACTAGAAATGGCCTTTTTCTTCCTTCAGTGGGTTCAGACACGGGTTTCAGGTCATCCTGCATGAATGGCTCTGCCCCAGGCAGGGGGGAAGCAAACAAGTCAGACATGGCCTGTCCTCAGGGGGCTTGGGTCCCCTTCTGGCCTCCTTGGGCTGTCCCTCCCGTTCCTGTCGCTACCTCTGCAAACCTGTGTTCTCCTGTGTGCGTCACCCTCTGTCCCAGCCAGGTGAGGGGAGAAAGGGGTCCAGGATACCCAGGAGAGCTGTTCACTGTGAGTCACGCACGAAAAGATTGAATAGCTTGATCATCCTCACCCTGGAAAGGGGCCTGAATGTTCAAATCAATGAATCACGGTACCTGCCGGTCCCAATGCCCTCCGTGCGGAATACAGGGAGTGCTTTCCGGCAGCGAAAGGAAATCTAAACACTCCCGCCGGACGCTGCCAGGCTTCAAATTAATTTCTTTTCACCGTTTTGTGGATTTTTGAACTAGAATTTGCCTTTAATCAGGGCCTTTCACGAGCTGGGAATGTGTGTTGCATGTGATTCTTTCAAACAGGGATTATACCAATGCTGATTCGTGTGGTTAATTAAAATGAAAACTGTCGCACTAAGCTCCGGTGTGTTCTCTAAGCATTAAGGGTCCATGACTTGGATTTATTAGGAATGCCAATGTTGTCTAAGTGACTGGAAAATGGACTTCTGATATTTGGGGTTGCTGGGACTGGTGAGGGAAAGCAGAGGATTCCTTGCTGGTGGGATCAGTACCTCCTCCTGGGCTCTCCAATGAACTGAGCCCCGATCAGAACCCTTAGCTGGGTGCCTCTCTGAGTTGTGGTAAACGCGGAGAAGGAGAAACGGCACCGCGGACTTGGTGGCTGTCATGTCCCACACTGGGCTCATGCTCGGACAACTAAAAATTAACCCCATTATTCACGGATGTGGCCAAAGACATTGGCATGGGAGAAGCCAACCCCAGGCATCGGACAGTCTTGGAAATGTTATGCATTTATTAAGGTCCTTGCCGCTGTAGCTAATAATCAACATAACAGTGTCATGTGAGGGTGGCTGTCCTGTGTCTGAAATGAGAAATAGCAGTTTTTATACAACGACAAGAAACATATTTGGGTAATAAACGTAGAATGAACCTCGATGAGATGGCTTATCCATTATCTTGTAGTGTGGGTTTTTTTTGTTTTGTTTTGTTTTGGTAAACAGTGGACACCTTCTTTTACACAGAATATAAGTAGAAGCGTGACCGAAAGCCACCCTGGAGGAGAAATGGTCTCCCCTCCCCCGCCCAGCCCCTGGAGAGCAGCACCGAAGGCTGGGAGGGGAAGCTTCTGTGTGTGTTTGACTTTGGCACATGGATATGGGGGTGGCGGGGAGGGGACAGGAAAGGCACTGAAGGAATTCAGTAAGGAAGCAGACGAGTAGATGCGGATGGGGAAGATTTTAGGACATGGGTAATACGATGCTAGCTTTTTTTCCAACTAACACATGTATAGGTTCTAAATTCAAAAGGGATAACGTACATTTTTCTTCGTCCTCTGTCTGTGTGTGATGGTATCTGGTGTGGGCTGACCTACTGCGTGTCCTTCCAGACGTTCAGATTGCAGAAGCATAGATGTGTACCTATGCACACAGTTGAGCACTTGCTTTTCTGTTAGTAAATCTTGATGAGCATTTCACGTTCATTCAGCTAGAGCTGTCACTCTTCGTTCAGACAGCTGCATGCATTGGTGCTTGTAGCTTTGTGAATAACCCTCCAAGTCTTGTACATAATTGCAGGCATGTCCATGGGATAAAACCCCAAGTAGACCTCCTGGAAATGGAACTGCGGTGTCCAAGGAGATGGCCGCTGCAAACAGCTCTGCCCCGCCAGGAGGCCCGCCCAGCCCACAGCCCGTGGGAACCTCCTCAGGGGTGCGTCACCTCCAGAGGCAGTTTGAAAACCAGCACCTTGGCGCTGAGGAGGCAGCTAGGATTGTTAATCTTGCTCTGGGGCCAGGGGTCCTTGCCTTACCCATGGCGTTCCCATCAATGGGCTGGTTGTCAGGGTTGGGGCACCACCGGACAGAGTGAACTGAGCTTTCCAGGAGCTGGTCATTCAGAAGGTGGGAGGGACAGACAGTGCTAGAGAGAAGCCCGGGCACGTACCCAAGGTGGCTTGCTGCTGGAGCTTTGCCGATCTGATAGGGCAGGCGGATACACTGAAGTCTTCATCTGCCCATCCCCCTAAGGGAAGGTTGAATGGTATGCATCCACGCCACTGTCCATGCCCTTTGACCTTAGGGTTGGAGATCTGTAGAAGCTTGTTATTCATTAAGGAAATGAATATTTGCCTAATGTTACAAATATTTTTCTTTGTCTTCGGACTTCTCCATGGCGTTTTTACCATGTAGAACTTTAATTTTTATATTGGCAAATGTATCGATTTTTCTGATTTTGGGGTTTTATAAATGATGTAGAAAGGATACCATATTTTTTCCCCCTAGTACTCTTAAGATTCCATATTTTAAATTTAAAGTTGTTTTGTCTTTTTTTTTTTTTTTTTTAGTTAATACTATTATAGATGTCCTCATTTCCCCCCCTTTTCCCACCTCCAACCCAACCCCGCCCTCCCCTCCTGGCCCTCACCACATTGTTGTCTCTGTCATGGGCCACGCATACGTGTTCTTTGGCTAATCTCCTCACCTTCTTCCATCCAGTCACTCCCCTGTGACACTGGCAGTCTGTCCCATGTATCCATGCCTCTGGCTCCGTTTCACTTGTCAGTTTATTTTGTTCATTAGTGTCCCCATATAACTGTGATCACGTGGTGTTTGTCTTTCTCTGACTGGCTTGTTCTGCTTAGCACAGTCCTCTCCAGGTCCATCATTGCTATCCCAAAAGGTAAGAGTTTCTTCCTTTTCACAGCCACGTAGTATTCCAGCGTGTGAATGTACCACATTTTTAAAACCCACTCACCTGCCGAAACTGGTTTGGCTCAGTGGATAGAGCGTCAGCCTGCGGACTGAAAGGTCCCAGGTTCGATTCCGGTCAAGGGCATGTACCTTGGTTGCAGGCACATCCCCTGTAGGGGGTGTGCAAGAGGCAGCTGATCGATGATTCTCTCTCATCGATGTTTCTAACTCTCTAACCCTCTCTCTTCCTCTCTGTAAGAAATCAATAATATATATATATATATTTAAAAAAAAAAAAAAAAGCTTTAAAACCCACTCACCTACTCATGGGCAACGGGGGCTGTTTCCAGATCTCAGATGTTGTAAATAACACTGCTGTGAACATGGGGGTGCGTGTATAGTTTCTGACTGGCTTAAGGAGAGGCGCATAAAGGCCAAATGGAGGTGGCCAGGCCGTGGCTGTGTGCTGCCTCTGCCCCTCGATTCCAGCCTCCGGCTCATGCTGCCTTTCAGTCGTCTTGTGTTCCATCCCCATAAGTGGTCTTCCTGTTCATCCCCCCTCAAAGGACACTTCTTTCTCCTGCCCTCCCAGTACACGTTCAGTCTGTCCCTCCCACCTTCTGAATGACCAGCTCCTGGAAAGCTCGGTTCACTCTGTCCGGTGGTGCCCCAACCCTGACAACCAGCCCATTGATGGGAACGCCATGTAAGGCGAGGACCCCTGGCCCCAGGGCAAGATTAACAATCCTAGCTGCCTCCTCCTCAGATAGTACCAAGGTGCTGGTTTCAAACCATCGGGAAGTGACGCTCCCCTGAGGAGGTTTCCCACAGGCTGTGGGCTGTGCGGGTCTCCTGACAGGGCAGAGCTGTCCCCACACCAATGGCCTAGCCCTTTGTCGCCTAGGACTTTTGTCGCCTCCCAGGCCGACCCCTCCCACAAGCACAAGGACACGGGGTTGTTGCTAACAGGACCGTAGGGTGCCGCCCCTGATGGGACTGACCCCACTCCCTCCTCATGGGCGGTTACAGCCCCGACTCGAGAAGTCATCAGTTCCCGGGTGAAGGAGGGCTTTTTTCGGGCTCCCCTGTGCTGTGTGCGGCGTTGGGAGCAGCCCGTTAGGATGCAGTTGGGAAGCAGGAGAGGTACCGTCCACAGAGAGCAAGGACGCATAGCAAAACCTGCAAAACCTGCAGGCCCTCTAGCGATTAATGACGTGCTCAGGCTGCTTGGTGGAATGGGTTTGTCTCCTTCTCGTCACACAAACCAACCCAGTCTACCCACCCCGCCCCCACTCAGACCGAACAGGCAAACAGAACAAGCACTGAGCAGCGCTGTGGAGCCACCCGGTGTGGGAGAGGGCCCACGTGTGTGCTTTGTCCGTCCTTCCCGGAGACACTATTCTTTATGTGCTTCATCCTCACGGCACCACCCAGCAGTGTATCCCTGCTTTACAGGAAGTGTTCAGGGAAGCATCGCCCCTGAGTCCCTGGAGCTGCATTTGCCACGTAGACGTGAACCCTAACTCTGTTTCTCGCCCCCCACTTTCAGTTTCCCCGGCAAGAACGTCCCCCACGATGGCCGAGGAGAGCAGCAGCCGCGGGGACAGCGCGTCCTGCAGCGTGCTCAGCTGGGACCAGGTGAGCCGGCTGCACGAGGTCCTGAACGAGGTGGTGCCCGTGCACGGGCGAGGCAACTTCCCGACCTTGGAGATCACCCTGAAGGACATCGTCCAGACCGTGCGCGGCCGCCTGGAGGAGGCGGGCATCCAAGTGCAGGACGTCCGCCTGAACGGCTCGGCCGCCGGCCACGTCCTGGTCAAAGACAACGGCCTGGGCTGCAAAGACCTGGACCTCATCTTCCACGTGCCTCTGCCCACGGAGGTCGAGTTCCACCTGGTCCGGGACGTGGTCCTGTGCTCCCTCCTGAACTTCCTGCCCGAGGGCGTGAACAAGCTCAAGATCAGCCCGGTCACCCTGAAGGAGGCCTACGTGCAGAAGCTGGTGAAGGTGTGCACGGACACCGACCGCTGGAGCCTCATCTCCCTCTCCAACAAGAACGGCAGGAACGTGGAGCTCAAGTTCGTCGACTCCATCCGGCGCCAGTTCGAGTTCAGCGTGGACTCCTTCCAGATCATCCTGGACTCCCTGCTGGTCTTCTACGACCGCTCCGGCCAGCCCATCTCCGAGCACCTGCACCCCACGGTGATCGGGGAGAGCATGTACGGGGACTTCGAGGAAGCCCTGGACCACCTGCAGAACCGGCTGATCGCCACCAAGAACCCCGAGGAGATCCGGGGCGGGGGCCTGCTCAAGTACAGCAACCTCCTCGTGCGGGACTTCCGGCCCACCGACCAGGAGGAGATCAAGACGCTGGAGCGCTACATGTGCTCCAGGTTCTTCATCGACTTCCCGGACATCCTGGAGCAGCAGCGGAAGCTGGAGACCTACCTGCAGAACCACTTCGCCGAGGAGGAGAGGAGCAAGTACGACTACCTCATGATCCTGCGCAGGGTCGTGAATGAGAGCACCGTGTGCCTCATGGGGCACGAGCGCAGGCAGACCCTGAACCTCATCTCCCTCCTGGCCCTGCGCGTGCTGGCCGAGCAGAACATCATCCCCAGCGCCACCAACGTCACCTGCTACTACCAGCCGGCCCCCTACGTCAGCGACGGCAACTTCAACAACTACTACGTGGCCCAGCCTCCCGTGACCTACAGCCAGCCCTACCCGACCTGGCTGCCCTGTAACTAACCTTGAGACCTGAGGGTTTTCTCAGCGGGAACGCCCCAGAGGGCTCTAAGCAAGGGCTCTCAGCTAGGGGAGCCTCCTTCTAGATGTAGGTGTTTGGCTTTTAAAGGGGAACTCAGCTCTGGTTTTGCTTTCTTTTTTTTTCTTTTTCTTTTTTTTTCTTTCTTCTCTTTGTGGACCCATTGGAACGGGTCCGCAGTGTATCATGAGCCAACCCTGAAGGGATTGCAGTGCCACTTCGGAAAACGCTGTAGGAAGTACGGCCTATCCACTTCTTTCCGAGACAGACGCCAACACGTCGCGTCCCGCACGGCAGCGCAGGGGCCCGAGCTCTGTGCGGCCGTCGGGATTGGGGACCGCGAGGGCAGCCGACGAGAGGGCGAAGCTGCTCGTCTCCCTGGAGCCTGGAGCAGGCCGTGCTGGCCCTCCCTCGCTCGCTCGCTCGGGATTCTCCGTGACATGAACGTTGTGCTGATAAGTCTGTTGTGTCAGCTTTAGATAGGCATGCCATTGTGAACACGAGGGTGCTCCTTTTTGTCCAGAGGACTTACATGGTTTGTGTTCATTCCCTGTCAGCAGAGCTGAGGATTGCTTTCATCAATAAACCAAAGCCAGTCGCTGGAGAACCGGGGTCTGGCTGGAAGTGGTATATGGTTTAGATGCTGTGCTCTCCTGAGGAATTGTGTGAGATAATTGCTGAGGAAAAAAAGAAAAAGGAAAAAAAGGGGGGGGGGGGCGGCGGGTGTCTTGTCTTGAACTATAACTTGAAAACAAAATAAAATGTGGAACCTGATGTTAATATAGAATTATGGTGGTGGGGGGTGATTGTAAATAGGAAACATGAATGTTCCGTTTTTTTGTTTGTTTGTTTGTTTTGTTTTATTTTCCTGTAAGGAATTCTCTGGAATGACATTCTCGTTTCCTCACCAACTCATCACTTTTGTTTTTCTCTGGGGTCATTGTGGTGACTGGCGTGTGGGGGTCGCCCATGCTCTCATTGGAAACCCGCTTTGATCACATTCCAAGTATGACAAGCTGTTTTGTTCCAGAGTACTTGGGCTGATTTTTTTTTGTTGTTGTTGTTGTTGTTGTTTTTCAAAAGTAGAGATTTTCTCCTCCGGGTTTTGTGTGACAGCAAATGAATTCAGGAATTCCCGTAGACCTCTGTGACCTGTGGAGGACCCGCCCTTGTGGGCGGAGCTCTGTGGCTCTCAGTTGCTTTAGAATGGAACTTCAGCCCCCAGGCCACTGACTGCTCTGTGCGAGGGGAGGTGGTAGAGCATCAGGCAGGGGCCTAGCGTCCAGCCAGGCCTGGTGGGCACCAGCCGTGCAGAGGCCCCCACAGGGATCGATTCCGGTGTGCCTGGGGAAGCATTGAGTGAATCAAGAATGATCCTCCTTATTTCGGTAGATTTGACCAGACCTGTTTGTATGCTGCACTTTAGAAGGAAAACAGTATTAACCTCTAGTCTAAAGCAAGCTTAGTCCACGGGAGAGTTCTAGGCTGTTGCTTTCCCAGTAGATTAAAGAAAGGATTTTGTGTGTTGAAACGTTAGGTACAATCTCTTAGCAAAGCATCGCTTCGGGGTGTCGAGGGCAAAGAAATTCAATTATTGCCAGCCAGCCTGGTTTCTAGAGTGATTTCATCGAACCCCGTGGTCCTGATGTTGAATTTCTCCCGTGGCCAGGAAAACCCCAAACCCCGAGTGATTGCTTTCTCCTTGCTTTCATGAGCAATGAATTACCTTGATGCAAAAATGCTTCATAGAAAAGGAGTGGTTTACCTTTTTCTGAAAATTATATTTTCAGGTGTTTTTTTTTTGTGTTTGTTTTTTTCTTCTAGAATGTGATGTCTTGGTCCTCTTAAAACAGACGGGGCAGGACTGAACCCCAAGGCTTACCTGGTCTCCAGGTTGTGCTGTGTCAGATGGACAGGAGCCACTTCTTAGCTCCTATCCTGGGTGCCAATCACATGTACACTCACTGGCTGTGAGGCAAGGCCCATCAGCATGGGAGCCTCAGTGTGAAAAGGGGGACAATGAAGAGTGAATCCCAACTTTTTAAAAACAAGGTGGTCATCCATGACCTAAAAACTGCCATGGTGGTCAGATGGCAGCAGGTTTGCCCCCACATGGCAGATCTGCTTAACCAAGTGTTCACTGTGGTGAAGCTGCCAGCACAAGCCCTTGGAAACAGCAGTCAGTACCGCAGGCACCCAGGAGACTTGGGGATGGGGTGTAAGGCTCCTCAGGAAGGTGGGGCCAGAACCCCACCGAGGAATTAAGTTTCAGTGGCCTTGGCATTCTTTCTGCTCATTGTTTTTCCTAGCCGGTACTAGTCCTTCTTTAAGGGGAGGCACAGAAGATGCTAGAAATTCTCAGCCCCTCAGTTCTTGGCCACCCCTGCAGGACGGCCGGCTCGGTACAGCCTCTTCACCTGGAGTTTGAGAGCAGACGTGTTGGAGAGCCACCGGGGTGGACAGCTGCAGGGACCCAGGGTTTGCCTGCCTCCGATCAGCCCGGGGAAGAACCTGGGGCTCCGGGGTCTGGGAATTCGAGCTGCATCTGCTTTTCCTGCTGCTCACGAGCACCAGGCACTCTGGACTTGCTCTGGGTCCAGCGGGTCTTCTTTTTTTGCGCGTTGAGTGGCATGAGACTCGGCAGTTGCCAAGGGCACTCACGTTCAAGTGCAAGTTCTCCGTGCATTTCAGCAGCCTCCCTGGCTCCCAGGGACAGCTTTCCGAGGCTGCCTCCTGGAGGCTGCTGGGAACCAGGCTGGGCAGCAGGGATGGAAGCAGACCCTCTCCCCCGATGCTGGCAGAAGGGCACGCACCCAGTTCCTGGCCCTGCGCTTCCGTCTCCCCCGCAGACCTCACCTTGGCAGGGAGACGCTCTTCCGGGCTCAGTAACTCCAACTCAGAAACCAAACTCCCCATCACCACCACCTTAAGTCAGGGTTCCTGCCCACAACCTGTGGGATGCGGCCTAAGCCACACCCGGGGGCCTGGCAGATGGGAGAGTCTGGAGGAGCAAAGCCGGATTCCTGGTACATGGCAGCGAGTGTGGTTTGGCATGTAAGGTTCTCCCTCCCCCCCACCCCTCCTCCACCCCCGTGTGACTTTTCCCCTGGAGATCTGAGTTCTTTTCCCCTGGAGCTGCAGGTGAACTTTTCCCCTGGAGATCTGAGTTCTTTTCCCCTGGAGCTGCAGGTGAACTTTTCCCCTGGAGATCTGAGTTCTTGGGGAGCTGCAGGTGAACCTGGGGGCTTTCTGCGTGGGCGTGTGTGTCTGTGCGGTTTTGTTTTGTGACGACGCATTAATAAAAGGCGAAAGCCCCACACTGTGTGTCCCGCAGCCTCTCTTTGGGCCCTGGCCCCTGCCGTTCCGGGAGGAGGATCTGAACTAGTACTGCTCTGACGGTGGGAAATGGTGCCAATCCAAAGCAACTTGCCTCTCCTCTCCCGTGAGCCTCCGGGACGGGGCCTTGTTTTAGGGGCAGCTCTTCTGCGCTTCCCTGTCCTCTTTCAGGAAACGTGGCAGTTATCCGGGTGTGAGAAGAGACCCCGAAGCTCACCTGTGCCGTTACGTCTGGGGTGTCAGCTTGGGGCTCCACACCAGGGTGAACCCTTCCGGGAGGAGGGGGTGGGGTCAGTGAGGTGCAGAACTTTGAGTTGCCAAGGTTACAGTTGTACTCTTAACCTGGCAGAGGCCAGAATGTGACAGCTGACTTTGGAACGTACTCGGATCCAGCCTTGCCTTTCAGAGGGCCAGGAAAAGTGTGTGTGTGTTTTGGGGGGGGTGGGGGGGTCAGGGAGGTGGGGGGTAAGGGGGTGGGGAGAGGGCAGCCATATATTTAAAAAGACCTGGCCACTTTTCAGGATGATTTGTGGAGACTGCCAAGGTGTGAGGATCAGGAACGAAAATGCTTTTTTTGTGTGTGAGTTCAAGTTCTAAATCTTGTTGACCTATCACTTACCAAAAAATAGGTTAAGTGTCAGCAAAAAAATTTGGATTTTTGCCTGGGCTGGTGAGAGTTGGTACAAATGTTCATGTTTGCCTAGGAGGTGAGGAGACCATCCACCAAAGAGGAAGTCGTTAAATAGCACGGATCTGCGGGTGTTTTAACACTCAAGCCATCTGGATTTTTTTTTTATGGATTAAAAAAAAAAAACTACTTTAGGAAAATTGAGAGTTTAGATCCCTTAACTTCCAAACTTATGTAGGTAAAAGTAAGACACCCATTAGACTAAATTGAAAGTCTTGGTTCCTCTAGATTTGCGTGACCTTGGGAATGTTGTTTTGCTAGTGGAGCCTAGGATGGCCGAGGCTTCCTCTCTGGTGTGATGGTCGCCGACCTTCCTACATGAAGCAGGTAACATCACTTGTCAATGCAAAATGTATTAGAACTTGATGACATGGCGCTTTGAGTTTGAGAAATAAACGTATATTTAAACAAACACACACCTTGTCTATTATGTGACCTTACTGCTCAGTTCTCTTCGGCGGGAACTTATTTTAGGTTTCCGGGAAGACGTTGCCTTGGGGCACACCGCTGCCTTCCCAGCTGGACTCTTCTCCGAGGCGCCCGACGGAGCAAACTGAGCCTGGCTATTGACCACCGCAGTCCTCAGCGGATGCCCATGCCACTAAGCTGGGTGGATCTGAGCTTGACCTTGGCTCCAAACCCCTCTCAATAAGAGCCAAAATGGCTTTGCTGTATACCAGGACTATGGTGGTTTCTTCACATTTTAAAGGAAGTGTCAGAGTGAACAAGTGATAGCTGATAGTTGATAGGTTTCCGGAGGGTACAGAGATTAGATCATGCACGGTGACCAGCTCGCTTCCTGACCCTCTGCACCCAGCCCTGCCCCAGCCATGGCCTCGCCCCCATGCTGTTATTTCTTGAACTCCTACAGTATTTCCTGTAACTGCCATTAAAAAAAATCTATATATATGTCTTGCCCTAGCTGGTTTGGCTCAGTGGGTAGAGCATTGGCCTGCGGACTAAAGGGTCCCAGGTTTGATTCCGGTCAAGGGCATGTACCTTGGTTGCAGGCTCCTCCCTGGCTGGGCCCTGGTTGGGGCATGTGCAGAAAGCCACCGATAGATGTGTTTCTCTCACATTGACGTTTCTCTGTCTTTCTCTCTTCCCCTCTCCCTAAAAATATCCTCAGGTGAGGGATAATAACAAAACAAAACAAAACAAAGTCCGTCTTGCGTAAAAATGCCTCACCCCCGTCTCCAGCCTGCCTGTTCTCCTCAAACTTCCCCATCTGAGACGAGCATCCTTGAGGGCAGCAAGTGTGGGATCCTCCTCCAGGCCATTCCTGTGGGGTGTCCATCTGATGACCCTGGTCCTCGGAAGCCAGCCCACACTATCCCTGCTGTCTTCAGCCCTGGCGCTGACTTCCTTCCACCGTCCTCTCCTCACAGAGGCCGGACTTTGGATCCAGAGCTGCTCTGGAAGGCTGGGGTGACTCTCTCCTCCTTCCAGGATCACAGAACTGGGCCCAAATCAAAGAGCAGTTTTACGGTCCTGTTATGCTTGCCTGGGAGCCAGCTCCCGGCTCCTCTCCCTCCCCCCTGGACTGCCTGTTCCCTCCCCAGTGTTCCTCGCTCTGCCCCGTGGTGTTGCCTGCAGCACTGGCGTGGGCTTCTTCAGGAGGCTTGTCACTTTGCCTCTTTTTATTTTTTTTTGACTCATGTATGGGCTCTTTCTCAAACAGAGGTGACTCTAAGCATGTCAGCCTGCGAGCGGAAGGGTCCCAGGTTTGTTTTCCGATCAGGGCACGGGCCTAGGTGGTGGGCTCGGTCCCCAGTGTGGGGTGTGCAGGAGGCAGCCGATCAATGATTCTGTCTTCATTGATGTTCCTCTCTCTCCCACTCCCTTCCTCTCAGAAATCAAAAAAAATATATTTTTAAAAATAACAAATAAATAAAACCAAGGTTCCTTTGCCTGCCCACATAGTAAGACCTCAGGCAGGTCTTTCTGTGCGAGGACAGGTGTCACAGAAACGTCCCCCTTCCCACCCCTTTACCCGCTCCCCTTAGCAGCCTCCAGTGCCCACAGATCCTTCGTGGCCCCCCCCACCCACATGCGGAGAAGCCCCCAGGCACCCCATGAAGAGTCCCTCCTTCTCTGGCTCCCACCTGCCTTCTCCTGCCTGCTGTTCCTGTCGGGGGCACTTCCTGGGTGGCATCAGCTCTCTCCTCCCCCCACCCCACTGGGAACACCTGCATGTTCCATGGCCCCTCCCCGCCCCCACACAGCCGGCAGTGCTTTGCCACTTCCGATGCTGAGCTGGGCTCTCCGTCCCCGGAGGACTTGGCCCGGGGCCACGGGCCCGGGAGGCAGCGCGCTGGCCGTGTCCCTGGGCATGTGGCGAAGCTCCCGCAGTGCCAGGAAACATTCCGGTCCAGGCCCGGTCCGGGCCAATATTGACTCGCGGTCAACATGCGTGGGAAGCGGCCTGCTCAGTTCCTCGGAATGGGAGTCACCGCCTGGACACTGACACCGCGGGTCACCGGCTCCCGGCCTCCGGGGTGAGGCTCGGGCTTTACTGCTGCAGCCCGCACACTCCCAGGCCTCCTTCTGATCCCCCACCCGCCCAATACCGGCAGCAGGCTTTCCCTTCGGGGGTTCTAGAACCGCTTCTCCCCAGTCACCCCCCGAGGATTCACGCCTCGGGGGCGGAGCGGTGCCGCCGTACGCTGTGTGTCCTGTGACGGGTCAACCTGCGCAGCACAACCGGCCCCAGGCCCGTCCTCCCCTCGGCCACGGCCCCAGAGTCGCTCAACACCGTACCTGGCCACGCAGAGAGAAGTTCATTGTTACGCCAGCCCCTCTGGGGCCGGAGGGGTGTTGAGTTGCCTGGTAATAGATCGCTTCCCCTCCTGCAGGAAGGAATTCGTTGGACGGGCCCGCGGCCCGCTCAGACAGCCCTCCTTTGTGACGGGGCCGGGCCGGGGGCCCGCTGCGGGCTCGCTCACGCTCATGTGCTGGCGCCAGGCCCTGGGCCCGGCACCAGCCTCTGGTCTCCCAGCGCTGCCGCCGTGGCGGTGGGACCGTGGCGTGTCCCGGGAGATCAGTGAGTCGCAGGGCGGCAGTCAGGACCGGGCCGTGGGCTGTCTGATGTCGGGGCTCAAGCTCCTTCGGTGACGTGCTGTTTTGCTTCCACGTGCATCTTACAGGGCTGCCCGTGTGGGTGAGACACACAAGAGCAATCATCCACCTTCCGGCCGAGACTGACCATCGATGGTTTGGAAACAGTATTATGACGGAGGCCAAGAGACTGATTAGTTCAAAAATAGCCATGCCCTAGCCCGGTGGTCGGCAAACTCATTACTCAACAGAGCCAAACATCAACAATACAGAGCCAAATTTATTAAACTTAAACTTCTTCTAACATCACTTCTTCAAAATAGACTCGCCCAGGCCGTGGTATTTTGTGGAAGAGCCACACTCAAGGGGCCAAAGAGCCGCATGTGGCTCGCGAGCCGCAGTTTGCCCACCACAGCCTTAGCTGGTTTGGCTCAGTAGATGGAACATCGGCCTGTGGACTGAAGGGTTCTGGATTCGATTCCGGCAGGTTGTGGGCTTGATCCCCAGTAGACCCCGTACAGGAGGCAGGCAATCAGTGATTCTCTGTCATCGTGGATGTTTCTATCTCTCCCTCTCCCTTCCTCTCTGAAATCAAGAAAACTATATACAATAATAATAATAATAATAATAATAATAAACTGAGCTAGGATGGACCTAGAAACAGCATCCCCTTTCCCGTGAGAGGGAGGTTACGGGACAGAGGGGTGCTGACACCTCCTGCAGCTGAGAGGGTTGGAGGCGGTGCTCCCCCAGGTGCAGACGACGAAACCGTGAAGGGAGGTTTAAAACCAAGAGCAAAGCCCAGGCAGCGCCTAGAACACACACCTGTGGGTTTTCATGCGCCAAATACGTAGGCGGTGGGCCATCCTGTCCCTGAATCAGCACCACAGCGAGGCTGAGACGCTGCTTTTTAAAGCATCTCTGCACGGGCCCTGGGAGCCGGAGGCCAGGAGCAGCGCGTTGGGGCAGCTCGGTGTGCCCCTGGCAGCGTGGGCTTCTCTGCCACCCCTGCCGCCTCAGGCCCCGGGCGGAGGCAGTCTGCGGTGCCCTGTGCTGCTTCCATCCTCGCGGGCCCCGCCGTGTCCCGGTGGTCCTGGGCCTGTTGTCCCTTCCCCGAGGGAGGGCTCCGTGTCCCTGGTCCTCCCAGGACTGCAGGGGGCAGGAGAGCGCCCCTCGCTCAGCAGAGGCAGCCTTTCCAGCTCTAGTTCCCACCTTCCTCTAGATCACATGTGTCAAACACAAGGCCCGCGGGCCAAACCCGTCCCGCCAGGCTTTGCAATGTGGCCCACACCGCGCTGTCATCACTGCACTCCGCTGCATTTCCATCACAATGACAGTTTATGACTGTTCAGTAAACCATTCGGCCCGCGATTTAGGCTGGATTTTAGATTTTGGCCCCTTCTCTGATTGAGTTCGACACCCCTACTCTAGATTCTACTTCAAGGAAGCGCGTCTGGCTTTGCCTTTTGAATGCTGCTGCTGCTGCTGGATGGGGCACAGCAGCCCCTATTTCAGCAAATGTCAAAGCAGAGGCTGGATGGTGCGGTTCTGGGCTCCGTGGACGCCCCTCCTCCTCCTCCCCACGCCCCCGAAGGTTACACTTCCAGCCTCTTGCAGGGATCCAGCAAGCAGGGTGCAGGGATTGGAGGGAGGAGGGCTCCAGAGGGGCGGAGCGCCCAGGCAGTGAGGACAGTGGGCACCTAGAAGCCAGAGGTCCCCGCGCAGCCCCCTGACTCCCGGCAGGCTCGCTCGCTCAGGCCCCTCAGCCGTGTTGCCGGGGACTCGAGGGCAAGGTGTTGGCTAAAAAGCCCCAAGCCTATTCCCAGGTGCTCACAGGTGGACCTAACCTCCTGACCTCTGCCCTGGGGGTCCACAGCCCACTCAGAGAGCCAAGAGCAGCGATGCGGTCTTAAAGGTGCATGTGCACAGATTTGTCAGCCCCGTTAGACAGCACCCATGACACCAGCTACACTTTGTGGAAGCCTCCGGGCCAGGTATGGGTGTCACCTGTGCCAGGGCCGAGGCTCAGGCCCGCTCTGCCAGTGTCTCCCCTCGCCCACCTCCCACTTAACAGACAAGGATCCGGGGCTCAGAGATGGCCAGCCACCTGCCGCCCCGCAGCCCGGGCTGAGCAGTGTCCTGCCTGAGCCAGAGGGGGTGGACCGTGCCCAGCAGCTAGGCTGTGAGCCTGGGCTCCAGCCAGGGCCTGTCCTGGCCGCCTGCCCCCTTGCCTGTTGGTCCCAGGGTTGCAATATCATCCTAATTCCCACTAACAACCAATTAGCCTCCCTGCTGAGGTGTTGCCAACTCACACAGTTCCCCGGCCGGAACCTCACCGGGTGTCCCCACCC